ATTTATTTCACTTTTTGTTTTATATTTAAAGAATGTCTCGATTTTCCTCTGCCAGGATTGTATGTAGCTGGGCAATTGTGACTGAATTTTATCTGACACTTTGTTTGCCAAATCATATGCCCTGTGAGTAACTGAATCTACTCAGAGGCATATCTTGTTGTTATTCTGTCATTTAGATGGGAACTTTTCCCCTTAACTCATCAACCCACACAAGGTGTACATTGTGTTGATTTGATAAACTCGTATATTGCAAGATGAATACCACTATACTGTTAGCTAACATTCTGTCATGTCACATAATTACCATTTACTTTTTTGCGGTGAGAACATTTAAGATCTACCATTTTAATAACTTTCAAGTGAGTAACACATTTATTGTTATCTCCAATCAGAATGCTGGGCATACATCTTATAATTGAAAGTTTGTACACTTTGATCATCTTTTCCCCATTTTCCCCACCCTTCAGCCCCTGGTAACCAACATTCTACTGTTTTTACAAGTTCAACCTTTTTAGATTCCACAAGTAAGTGATATCATACAGTATTTGTCTTTCTCTGTCTGACTTATTTTACTTAGCGTAATGCCCTCAACATCCATATGTATTGTCACATATGGCAGGATTCCCTTTTTCATTGCTGACTAATATTCTAGTGTTTGTGTGTATGTATCACATCTTCTGTATCATTAATCCAGTTAGAGACACTAAGGTTATTTCCATACCTTGGCTAGTGTGAATAATGCTACAATGAACATGGGAATGCCTACATTTTTGATACCGTTACCATTTCCTTTGGGTATATACCCAGAAGTGAGATTGCTGGATTATATGCAGTTCCATTTTTTAATTTTTTGAGAAACCTCCATACTGTTTGCTATAGTGGCTATACCAAGTTACAATCCCACCAACAGAGCACAAGGGCTCCCTTCTCCCCACATCCACACCAACACTTGTCGTCTACTGTCTTTTTGATAATAGCCATTCCAACAGGTGTCAGGTGATACCTCATCATGGTTTTGACTTGCATTTCTCTAATTAGTGATGTTGAGTATCTTTTCTTGGATTTCATCATCCTCTGTATGTCTTCTTTGGGAAAATGTCTATTCAGTTTCTCCATTTATTCTTGGACTTGTTTTTTTCTATGAAGAATGATTTCCTTATGTATTTTGGATATTAACCCCTTATCAGATACATGGTTTGCACACATTTTCTCCTGTTCTGTACATTGCCTTTTCATTTGGTTGTTTCTTTTGCTCTGAAGAAGCTTCCTACTTTGATGTGGTCCCACTTGATTTTTTATTTTGTTGCTTAGACTTCTGCAACATACCCAAAAAATCATTGCCAAGACCACTGTAAAGGAGATTTTCCCCTGTGTTTTCTTTTAGAGGTTTTAGTTTCAGGTCTTATGTTCAAGTCCCTAATTCATTTCAGTTTTTTGTGAGTGGTATAGAAAAGGGGTCCAGTTTTATTTTGCTGCATGTAGTTACAGAATTTTCCCAGCATCATTTACTGAAGAGACTATCCTTTCCTTATTGTGTATTCTTGACTCCCTTGTCAAATACTAGTTGACCATGTATGTGGAGATTTATTTCTGGGCTCTTGATTTTGGTCCATTCATCTTTGGGTCTGTTTCTATGCTGACACCACACCATTTTGACTATGATAGCTTTGTAGTATAGTTTGAAAACAGGGAGTCTCATGGCTCCAGCTGTTTTTCTTCTTTCTCAGGACTGCTTTAACTATTTGAGGTCTTTTGTGGTTCCATACAAATTTTAGGATTGTTTTTCCTATTTCTGTGGGAAATGCCAGAGGAATTGTGATAGAGATTACATTTGATCTATAGATGGCTTTTGTTAGTATGGACATTTTAACAATATTAATTCTTCTGATCCATCAACACAGGGTACCTTTCCATTTGTTTCTGTCTGTAGTTTTCTTTATAAAAGTCTTGTAGTTTTAAGTGTACACATTGTCATCTCCTTGGTTAAATTTATTCCTGTTTTGTTGTTTTTTGGTGCTATTGTGAATGGTATTGTTTACTTGGGTTCTTTTTCAGGTATTTTGTTGTAAGTTTATAAAAAGGAGCTGAATTCTATGTGTTGGTGTTGTGTCAGTCCCAGCCTATTGACAGGAATGCCTGAGGTGCTTATCTGGGTTCATAATACTTGTAGCAAGCCCCCACAGACATGTCCCACTCCAGGGCCAATGTGGTGATTGGACCAGCCCTTGTAATTTTTTACTATGATTGCAGGACACACTTTATCAAATATCATCAGGGAACTTTGAGGAACAAGATTTATTACTCATAGATCCTGGAGGGTATATGGTGTGCCTGAGAGCCATCACAGTGAGATCATGAAAAAGAGAGAGAGAGAAGGAAGAGGGGGAGGGAGGAAAGTAGACCTGGCTCTGCCTTTATAAGGTTCAATGGTGGGGGTATCTAGGGTTTCACAGGTGAACTCTGTTGGCTAATTAAAAGCACAGAGTTAAGAATTAGGGTTCAGGAAGGGAGAAGAGTCTCCTTCAGGTAGTCAGTTTATCTAGGTGACTGAGGCCATTCTAAAAGAGAAACTTTCTTGGTAGGGGTGGCATACCTCCTTATCTGGTGGTTTTGCTAGTAGCTGTGTCATACAGTCGTCAATATGGTTATTCCAGGTGGATGGCTTTTATAATGGATGCTGTGTTTATTAGTTTCAGCAGGATTTGGTGGAGTCCTCAGCATTTTCTGTATGTAAGACCATATCATCTGCAAACAAATAGTTCTAATTCTTTTCTAATTTGAATCTTTTTATTTCTTTGTCTTGCCTGATTGCTCTGGCTAGAACTTCGAATACTATGTTAAATAAGATTGGTGAGAGTGCTACCCTTGTCTTGTTCCTGATATTAGAAGAAAAGCTTGCAAACTTTCACTGTTGAGCATGTTAGCTGTAGGCTGTCATATAAGGCTTTTATTATGTTGAATTATGTCCTTTGATACTGAATTATTGAGAGGTTTTATCATTAAAGCATGTTATTTTGTGTCAAATGCTTTTCCTGCATCTATTAAGAAGATCATGTGGTTTTTATCTTTCATTCTATTAATGTGGTGTAGCTCATCTATTGATTTGCATATGCTGAGTCATCCTTGCATCCCAGGGATAAAGCTGCATGATTGTGGTGTATGATCCTTCTAATGTGCTGCTGAAGTCAGTTTTCATATTTTGTTGAGAATATTTGTATTTGTATTCATTAGGGCTATTAGCCCATAAT